GCATATTGCCAATTTTCGCAATAACATGCTAAATTAAAAATGTGATCGCGGGCCGCGGGTTGAAGACCCCGGGTCTAGACTGTTTCACTGTCTACTAGTCTACTGTCTAGTGTCTACACTGTCACTGTGTCACTCSTCACTATTTATTATTTACTCGACACTCGTGCAGTCTTATACCATATTATCAAGGTGAATTTATAAATTTATTTATAAATCCACCTTGCATATTATGTACGATGTCCATATATCTAATTATTCCGTGCTTATATATTACTCTATGTCTCTATGGCTTATACTCATCACTTCATCAGTCATTATTCATAACACGAACTTAGATATATATCTTAGTTGTTACTTGTTAGTTTGTGATTAATTGTATCACAGAACAATATAAATTGTATGAATGAGAATTCAGTATTTCAGTATGATCCATTCGTCAAGTCTKTGCATGTTATCACCTATTAATTATTATCAACCAATGAAAAACCAACAATTGCGCAAATAAAAATTATATAACCTACATTCAGCTTACCACGGTAGAAGTACGGAACATGAACTAAAGTGTTCAGCGAATCGTGATACAAGTTGTAGTAAGTACTAAGTTGGTTAGGTTATCAGTACCCGTCTCTCAGTTGTCTTTAGAATTTAGTTTACTCGCCCCGCGCCCGTGTGAGCTTGTTAATTGTTATTTGTTAACGTTAAGGTCATTTATTTTTGTCTGCTCAGTGCACTGTCTGTTGTAGTGCCTACACATTATATTTTATATAAATATAGTATTTTCGACATCCACTCAGTACTCAGTACTCAGTGCTTTCTGTTCGTTGATAAAAGCATTCGTCATTCTGAATTCGTGATTCATCATTCATGTTATTTGTAATGAATGCATCCGACGGTGCTTCTCTCATCTAAAGTTTTCGTTAAACCCTACGACACAGGACCGCTTGAATCTTATCCCTCAGGTAGACAAACACATTTTCCTAAAGAGTAAAGACACGTTTTCCGGCACGCGTACCCACCCGCTCGTCATACCTCCCACCCGGCACCTACAGTCCATACACGTACGAAGAGTGAAAAAGATGTGAGTGACGATCGTCGGCCAGCCAATTTTTCGACCGTTGGGCGGTAGTGGCTCTCCCTTCGTGCGAGTACGCACATTTGACTTATGTGTATTGTCGTGACTTTTTATTTTCGTTTATTTAATGATATAATATTTTAAACTACCCGACGTGCGTGTTACCTACAATTTACATTTAACGTTCCAGTTTTACTTATTTAATTTTTTTTTCTCGCATGGTGTAATCGACATGAAAACCGACTTAACCATAGAAATGCCTGACGGAAGGTTAAAACAATTTGGTTACAGGTTCGTACATAGTTTTTGGTTGTTTAAGTCTATAAAATTTACTGTGTATAGTCTGGTGTGTAGGCAGTACCTAGTGACTTAGTTAGAACTCAAGGTTTGCATAGAAATTACCTGGAATTAAATACATTAATGATTTGCAGTGTACATTTTTAGGTACTTATTGTCAAACATTGTCAAATTAGTTTGTTATTATTCATCATTGACGTTTTAAATTTAAATTATTTTACAGTCCTTGGTGACAAAATTATTGCATTTATGGCCATACCTACATATAGG